ATATATATATATATATTTGATTTACAAGACACCCAAAATTATCAAATAATATATTATCACTTCTAACTAATAGTACAAATGGAAAGCACTTGCCCTGTATGCCAGTAGTAAACCTTGTCTGTAAGTTTTCTCCCAGTCACACAAATATCCTTTGCATTAAGAACAATGCACATATCTCCATCATCACGATTAGGTGCGTAAGTTGGCTTATCCTTTCCTTGAATCACAGTAGATATTTGAGACGCTAACCTCCCAAGGACCTATATAAAAGAGACATTTGTATCAGCAACATGGTCCCAAGATTTCAAATAAGCAAATTGCTCAATACCCCAAATGCCAATCAAAAGTGCATAAGATGTTAGAAGCTTAGCTAACCTTCAGTATATCTCAATTAACATTTGCTTATAAGTTGTAACTTGTAACTAATTCACTAAATAATTTGTTTCAAAAGACTTCATTAATTCCACGTCATGGCTATATCTTCTGAGAGCAGTAACTACTCATGATAATTTAGACAAAATATAACCCCTTCTGAGCTGGCTTTATAACTAGATCATAGTAGTCAATCCCGGATAGCGGAGCGGAGCGGTCGACCCTAAAACTGGAATAGCGGGATGACGCGGAGCGGGATAACCGCTATTTTAATATTAATTTATATATTAAATAATTAATAATGGGAAATGCTAATGTACTCCCACCTATTTTTTAGTGGGAGTATGTTAGCAACCTACACCAATTTTTTAGGACAAAAAAACCACTCATTAATTTTGATTTGGTTAATTCGTACAAAGGATATTATAGTAATTTAATTTAATTTTAAATGAAAATAAAAATATATTCTCTCTCTTATTAATTTCATTCTCTAAATCATTTCTCTCTCTTATTAAATTTCTTCTCCAACTCATTTCTCTTTCTTATTAAATTCTTTCTCTAACTTATTTATCTCTCTCCTATTAAATTCTTTCTTTAACTCATTTCTCTTTCATCTCTCATGATGTCTCCCTCCTCTTAAAATTAAATTAAATTACTATAATATCCTTTGTACGAATTAACCAAATCAAAATAAATGAATGGTTTTTTTGTCCTAAAAAATTGGTGTAGGTTGCTAACATACTCCCACTAAAAAATAGGTGGGAGTACATTAGCATTTCCCATTAATAATATATATATATAAAAGCTAAAAAAACAAAAAATAACTTTAAATTCATGCATTAAACATTTTTAATAATTAAAAGTTCATAGTGAAGTAAACAAAATAAAAAAATTAAGAAAACAAAATATTTAAAGTCTTATATTAAATTTTTTATTACTTAAAATATTATCTGAATTAATAATAAAGAGAAGTTACTTTCTAAAAAAAAATAGTGAAGTAAAAGGCCCTTAATCAAATCAAAAGATAAAATAAAACTTGGCCCATTTGGCCCATTTGGCCTAACCCTAATTATTTTTCCACCTTCCTTCTAATTGTGAGACTCAAGCAGCCGTCACCAGTCACCACTCCTCTTAGAAGAAGACAAGACTGTAGATGCTGGAGAAGACAGAGCCACCATCGGAGAAGACAGCGCCGCTGTCGGAGAAGACAGATCGACGAAGATCCGCCGGAAAAAGAAGAGAAGTTCCGTCGCCCACCCGCGATCACGCCGCCACACTCCGCCGCTTTCGCGGCCGCTCCGACCGCTCCTTCAAAACGCTCCGCAACAAACTTTTTGAAGCGGCACGGAGCCGCTCCGCTCCGACGCGCCGCGATTGCGGCCGCGACAACCGCTATTGACTACTATGAACTAGATATTGCAAAAGATATATATTCATTCTGGGTAATTATCAAATGAAACCTCCATGAAAATGACTTGTCTTACTCCGTCAATAACTTCTCACAGAATTTGACTTTCAATCCTAGTCATACATGATACGCAAGCCAATAAGCTGAATGTTTGCAAAGCATTTCATTAATCTACTCGCACATTTCATTCTTTTCTGAAATAGATGCTAAAAAATATGCATAACAAATCACAAAGGCTATGTTTGATGTCTAATATTCTAATGAATAATGATAGGTAGAATGGGATAGAGTGGAATGGAATGAAACTGTGGAAGAAAATATGCACAAAGTTTTGATGATGCCAAAGTGATTATAAAGCATTGAAGAAGAATCAAGGTTGAGCTAAAGCAAGTTGATGCAAGAACAAGATCTCAAGTGTTACATAGATAAGTCTTGTCAACTTAGCTAAGAATGTAAAAAAATCTTTTAGAATTGCAAGTATGCTTGGCCTTGAGAATAAGTTTTCAAAAATCTCAAATTAATCTCTTTAAATTTAAGCAAGTTTTAAATCTTTTGAAAGTAAGTAAAAATGTTTTCAAAAGACTTAACAAAAGCTTTAAAGAATAGTTCAAATCATTTCTTAAAAGAGATTTGTGAAAGAAATTATTGAGATGAAGTTTTCTACATAAAAGTTTTTGAAACAATGCAAAAATATGTTCTGGTAATCCATTACCAGACCTTGTAATCCATTACCAGAACA